AATATTATTAGTAGTAATACTACTGGTCCCTTCAGCAATGTAGCAGGTGCCTTCAGTTATTATAGCTTTAATGGGCAGGGTACAGCATCGTGATGTGTGAAGCGGTGGTGAGGGTACGACCCCCCTCCGAGGAGTGTCAGTACGACCCCCCCCACCTAAATGGGGGTCTTGATAAGACTCCTACCCCCTTTCCCAGCACCTACCTACCAATTTTCCACACTTCCCACTTTTTCACCCACAAATTTTCCGTCGAGCGGGGGTGGGGTGGGGAAGGATATATAGCACACATGAAATAGGAAAAATCACCAAAGTCAACAACCGAGAAAAATTTTTCTCATCTCAGCGAATTGCTTTTGAAGACACATACGACCCCCTCCTCTCCCAACGACCAAATACGAACCCCCTTCCCCAGCGGAAAAGTACGACTCTCTACGTGTTTCACGCAACGATGCTGTACCCTGCTGTCGAAAGAATCGCATCACATGAATGAATGGGAAGTGGCTGAGCAAAAGAACACGTAATGGCTACGTAATAGTAAGGGGAAAGAAAAGCAGTCCCTGTTGGAACCAGTTGCGTTTATTCAAATGTTTTTTCAATTTATGGGATGAGACTTGTAGGACCCCGAGCAGTCGCTTCAGCAGCGGTGGAGGTGGTGTGGGAGGGACAGCGTGTTTGGGAAATGGAAGGTGAGTAAGGTGGGGTTGAAACAATCACTGTGAAATGGAAATGCTTTCACTGATCTGATGAGCTTTCTGCTTCCGACAGTTGCAGTATAAGAAGGAAAGGTTTCTTTCAGAAAAGAAACCTCTGGGAAGCCACATCACAGCTGTTCCTCTGCTTGTGAGACCTAATTCCCTCCAACAGGGGAGTGCACTGATTGCTTTCCCTCTAATATTCGTCTATGTCATGCTTTCCTTCATTTACCTATGTTTCTCAGCACTGAAAGATCGCCAGCGCTTGTATGCCTGCAGAAAATCAAAAGACGTTAATAACTCTAATTTTCTGTGCCGTAATCCCAAGGTACTGGCTACTGCATCGCGGAGGAGGCCGGTAGAATCACTTTGTAGTTGCGGTCATCAGCTAGCTATGATTTCAAGCTACATAGGTGAGTGGGCATACTATAGCTCATGCGCAATGTGGACCTCCTGACCCGCACACTTGTCTTTCATCTTCAGGTGTTTGAGAACTTATTGCTAAGAGAAATTCTGTAAAGGTGTTTGAAAGGCTATTTCTGTTCTTATCTTCCGTGCTGGAGGTAATTCAACCATTTTGATTAAGGCCTCAATGACACGACGTCTCCCACACAGGACATCTTCGACAGCTGTCCCTTCATACCACCAGATCCATGGGACCCAGAAATCGTCAACTACATCGACGTGAAGTACGGCTTCTTCAATGTGAGTCTTTAAAATTTCTCGAGGCGCACTTCGTCATGGTGGGGCACTAACAAGGGAGGTCTTTCAGGTCGTGGCGCGCTTTTTGGAAATGGTTTGTTGCTTGTTGTAGGGGTCCATACAAGGATCACAAAAATGGGTTTCATTTTTGCTATGCGTTTCTGGGAAGGTCAAATAAGGAGTGAAAAGAATGACAAGAAAGAGCTATTCTGATTGCCTTAATGAGCTCCTTCTGATCGTAACTTCGACCATGCATAGTTTATTAGGTGCTCTTTAATAAAGCCTCGAAAATAGTTCAAAATAAAGTCAAAATGTAAGTATCATGTAGTAACACACGTGGCATGCACCGACGAAGCAGTGATGCTCTTGTCAACGGTCCCATCATGCTCCCTGTTAGCGCAGCGGATAGCTCGATGGGTTCTGGATGGCACGACGAAGTGCACGATACTTACATTTGTTTTATCAAAGAGCACCTCATAAACTATGCGTGCTCGAAGTTGAGGCCAGAACGAAGCCCACTAAGTCAGTCAAAATAGCCCTTTCTGGTCAAATTGTTTTCACTCCATTTTTGACCTTCCCAGAAATGCATAGCAAAAATGAAACCCATTTTTGTGATCCTTGTATGGACCCCTACAACAAGCAACAAACCATTTCCAAAAAGCGCGCCACGACCTGAAAGACCTCCCTTGTAAGTGGCACTCAAGTAATCTTCTACAGGACCACCTGTGAGGACCCATAAATTCCGACTACCAAAGTGGCCTACTCGCACCATTGCGCAGCTTCACAGGATTTACAGCTCTGAAAATTAGACTTGTTATTTAACATGGACCAACAAAGGGAATAGTGAAAGCGCATAACGACCCCTTCCAAGCCGAATAGCGCTCACTTTTGTTTTGTACTGTCTTTGCGTTGAAATGAGCTTTTCAAAGAAACAATCTTGTTCAAAAGGAGAGTTCAAGGGCATCAAACTAAGCGTTGCGAACAACAAAACAAAAGGTGGCGTCTCCCAATTCATGCGATGATGGAGTGAGCCTTCTGAGAAAGATAATCTGGCCGAAGTGTGAGGGCGTTAAGAATGTTCCACTAAAAACTTCAATCGCACGAGGAAAAGAGAAAAGAGAAAGCAGTTTCAACTTCCAAGTACTCTACAACCCCACTTCTCAAAAGAAGTGAAAAAGTTTCATTTTATTGGGTATGGGCGGGGGCGTGGAATAGGGATCGGTTCCTTAGAAATGGCTCGTTGCATTCAGTGCAGGCAGGTTTCGAAAGCTCATACTCTGAGTTCATTCTCACGGTTTAATCCGAATTCCTAGATCTAGAAATGACCTCTTCACGATTTCGTGGAGGTTATGAGGCGCATCGGAAAACGCTCGATGATCCTCTCTATAATGCACCACCGATTTTTTTTGAATTGGTACGGTCTTTTGTACTTTAACGCGAGTCGATCATTCGAATTCAAACAACTTCTGTGAGACGCCAAAAGTGCAGTTGGTCTTCGTATTTTCCCAGTGATTTCGTCATAACAAAATGGAAAGAGATGGGGTCTGGGAGAGTGGCGAAGAGCATTCAGCCGTCGCACTGAGCGCTTGATACCTGAACTAAATTTCTGTGGGTATGTAGCTCAGCAGAATAGTTGAGGCCTATTAGCTTCAACAATGCTGCAATATGTAATGCAGCATTCATAGCAACTTGCTTGTTCTGACCAGGGAAGTCCGCCAGCTACCATGGAACTTTGAATGGAGACCTGGGTAGATCGATAGAGTCTATAAGGTTATTTACAAATATAGATAGCAAAACTGCAACCTGCATTTCACAAGCAACTTATGAGCAGGTAAAGTTTGTAATGGTGCAGTAGGGTGGAGGCTTGGTGGTGAGCTGGCATAAGCGAGGAATCGCATACGTCGAATCGAGTCGTGGTGGTTCAGTGGTAAGGTTTCGACGTTCGACGGCATGCCGATTCTGACGTATGCAATTCGCTGCGCTTATGCTTCACAGCTCACTCACAAGCCTATAACCGTGCTACTGCACAATACAGAACTTTACGCTGCTTATAAGGTGCCTTGTGGAAAAATGTAGGGTTTAGCAGTTTGCTATCTATAACACAACCTTATAGACTCTATCTATGCTACCCAGGTCTCCATTCAAGTTCCATAGTAGGTTGGCGGACTTCCCTGGTGACCGTGATAATCACACGACAGAAGCTCAACGTAACGTTGTGCGCTGCTTCCGCTTGGCTTGTGCCGCCTGACACTTGACAAAAGCACCTTTTGCGGCATGCCTGGTCCTAAACGTTTCAAAGCCGAATTCCCCAACATCAAAATTCCCTGTCAAGCTCTGCGGGATACCCGCACACCGATGTCGTCGCTTACTCGTGAAATCTCATCTCTCTCCTGGAACAACATAATAGAGGGCGTCCCTTCCACAGGTTTTCACAGCCCACTGTTTCTCCTCCGTTCAAGACCAAACTGTACATGTCAAGCTCCAAAGATGAAACCTCCGAGGTGTGAATGGGTCCGTGACTGTGTAGTTTCTGCCACTTTCTGCTCAAAGCGGACGCAGAACGGAGCCGGAGTGCGTTGCCTCAATGTGTAAGCGCCTCGATGTCAGTCCCGACGAGCGAAAACAGCGGGATCGTCCACGGCACCGTTGGTGATAGAACACACCATAAGGGAGAGAGAGCAGATAAAGTGGGGACGGTTGGCTGTAGTTAGGCGTGTAGACTGCCCGTGGAGGAGCCAGGCACGCCACATCGTATTATATATGCGGCCTTACTTCACGTTTCATTGTTACAGAACTGCAACATAAACCCAAAATGGTCGCCGATCACTGAACTTCGACATGGTCATGTGCGAATAATGCGTGCAGGCAGTTCACGAAAGTACGAATGTCGAGCGAGGTGAGCAACATATTCTAATAAAATCGTCAGCTCAGTTATCATCGTCGCCGATGATGCCGTGACCCCAGCGCTTTGCGGGCGGGTTGTACTGTGCTCAATAGAGCGCATTTCAGCAATGGTACGTTACTGTTCCTACTGTGTTCGCCAGATATAGAGACTTATTCTCACTCTCGCTCTCTCTCTTACAAATAATCCAACAGAGAACATCTCTCTTACAAATAATCCAACATAGACATAATCCGCCACCAAAGAGAGTTAAACAGCCCTTAAAGACACCATAAGTACGCTGCATACACATTTGAGGGTGTATGAGACTATCAGCCCCCCAGATGTCGATGTGTCGTGGTCCCCCCGCCCAAACATGCCCAGGAATGGAGATACAGGGCCGTGAAACACGCTAAGTTCTTCCATGCTCCGCCCACTGCCTTTTTACGGCGCAGATTCCCGCCGTTCATAACATCCGTCGTAAGCGCGCCTGTCGCGTGCGGCTCCTTGGCACTTTGCCAAGTCCTTTAATTGCGCTCTCAAATACGCAAGTAAAACGCAATTTCTTGATGCGGACAACACTGGAGGTGCTGCAAAATAAGAACAGAAGATGATGACGAGGGTCAGAACTTAAAAGCAACTGTGCCACTTCTGCAACATCCCTCGGAGGCCACGTATTTCCACGAAACATGAAAATAAAACGGCATACTCGTTAGTTTAATAAAGCAAAAGGCAATTTCCTGATGCGAATAAAATTTTAGGTGTTGCTCATGCTTCAAAATCCATGTACAAGGAGATGAAGATGACACAGGCTAGAAATGAAGCACAACGATGTAAATGTAAACAAAACAAAAATGAAAAAAATCAAGGAAAGGCAAATTAGATAAAACGGTGGCCTGTAAAATTTCTACGATCCGGCGCCAAAGCCATAGAAATACTTAGAACAAACGAGTGGGACGCTTGGGCTGTTTTTATTTTCATGTTTTGTGGAATGCGCGGCCCTTGATGGATACTGCAGATGCAGCCGAGTTGCTCTTGAGTTCTGCCCTTGTCATCATCTTCTGTTCTTATTTTGTAGCACCTCCAATGTTATCCGCATCAGGAAATTGCGTTTTCCTTGTATTGAGAGCTCAATAAAGACTTGGCAAAGTGCCAAGGAGCCGCACGCGACAGGCGCGCTTACGACGGATGTTATGAACGGCGGGAATCTGCGCCGTAAAAAGGCAGTGGGCGGAGCATGGAAGAATTAGCGTGTTTCACGGCCCTGTATCTCCATTCCTGGGCATGTTTGGGCGGGGGGACCACGACACATCGACATCTGGGGGGCTGATAGTCTCATACACCCTCAATGTGTATGAGCGTACGGGCAATGTATTTTTTTAATTTCAGCGCAGTCCACAAAAGCAGTGCAGTTCAACGACAGCCCAGTACTGCATGTGAAATTTACAAATCTGACTCCCATTTCGCTAAAGCTCTGAGTGCTGAGCTCCTCTTGCGGTTGTGCTTGAGCTAATGTTGAGTAAACTGAATATCAACGGTCGCATAAGCTTTAAGGTCCAGATGAGTGGTTGGCAGTGCTGGAAATAGCTAACGTTTCTCTCTTAAATACCAAGATTTTGTACTCGAACTTCTGAGGACGGCCCCATCCCACATGCAGGTCAATGGTGCTCGCAGCTACAGTCACAAGCCACTCTCCTCCGCTGCAAAAATGCACGGGAACTGTAGATATAAGTGTGTGACGACGCCTACAGCTTTGCCTCTCCATACTCCCGTCCGCGCTAGTCTCTCAAAACCCCCCAGCAGAACACGACACTCAGAACGCCAGATATGGAAGGCCGGCGGCAGAGTAGGCAGTTTGTTTTTGTTTTAGGCACACGTGGCTAGCGGCAATGCTCCATCGGCGGACGAACTCGGGAGCGGCGCCCCTGGTGGTCACTAGCCCGCCGTCGCCTTTCCCGTGCATTTTGAGCAGGGGAGGTGGCTTGCTATTGCAGCTGCGGACCCATTCGCCCACACATACGAGGACCAGAATCCACAAAAATGAGCGTACGGTTTACCTTCAAGTGAGTCAACAGCATCGAATAATCGTGCAATTGAAGTCCCTTTTGACTGATGCCTGGAATTGTATACAAATACCTCCAAAAAAGAGCTTTGTGTGATTGCTACTAAGGGTGGGCACCTGCATTTCATTATTTTTTAAAGGGTCCGCATTGTCGGTCAGATAAGGTTAAAAATATCATGCCTGTAATGACATTAACTTCTCTCTTGTAAAGATTCACGGGAATTCCTCGACTGTGCTTAATTTGTTTAGATGTGTAAATTATTTGGACGAAGAACATGTGTCATTTGATCCATGGCGAGACATCGACGATCCGCTGCCATTTCTCTGCGACTTCGTCCATACGGAATGTACGTCGAGGAAAAGGACCATTTCTCATGTGCACATGCAGATAGCTGAACTGAAGTGAGGCGAATTCCTTCCACATTATCATCCTCAGTGTGCTAGAAACTGCATAATACCTCATGTATGTCACAGAAATGCACTTAGCATAACTACACAGCGGATTTCAATAATAGTCACCTTGCATCCTGAAAAAAACGCACTCAGGAGCGGGCGGTGTAGCCGTTTTTCATCCACCGTACCCCGGAGGAAGAGTGGGCGTTGCTGCGCACTCTATTCGAGAATGGCGTAGCTAGGACTAGTGTTCATTTCCATTTCGGACACCTGCCACCATGTGTCGTGCTGGACAAAGACATGATCACGTGTACCGAAAACGGCATTATCCCACCGAAAGCAGAGCAGCCACCACATTTGAATGAATTACGCAGCCAGCCTTTTGCTGATGACATTGTGCACTTGCGAAATCAATTTGCGCTTCATCGTGGCTAATTTGCGTCCGTTGATGACAACGCATCGCGACCGCACGCCTGTGTGTTCTGTACGCTGCTCGCCTCTAACAGGTTTCGTCATTGATGAAGACTATTAATTTTGATGTTTCAGTACCAAATCGGTTCATGCTAATATACATCCTCATGTGCACATAATTCTTTTGGACTCAGTCGCCTCTTCTCAAGCCATCAGGTGTGATCTTTACTATTCCAAGACTTTGTGAACTGTGACTTTCTGAGTGCCAAGAACTTAGCAAAGCTGTGCGCCAATAAAGCAAAACTCTGCGCCAATAAAGGAAGCTCTGCGCCAATAACCTTGGGGGTGTCGTGTAAGCGCCCGTCAGCATCCAAATTCTCTAAACTTATACATGTGAATACCGGGCGACCTTGTCAACATCCTAAAAAAGAACTTATTGAGCTTCAAGCACTCTGTTAACTCCTGTTAGCTTTGTCAA